TTTAGTACTCCTGATCCCCTTTCCAATTTCAGCGGAAATCAATGCGAGGACGTCGAGTATGTCCGCTGGAACAAACCTTTTCCGACTCCCTTCGAATATGAATATAATATGCTATAATAATATCATAAATGGTCAGAAGGAGAAAGGGCGTTCAACGGAAGAGGTTTATTTTTTATCTGACCTTTCGGATAGTTGTTTCTTCTATCCATATTCAGAGAATGAATACTCTGGCTCCTGGTTCTCGCTATGTGCCGCTCCTTTCTTCCGCGTGCGTAGTTTACCAATCCAGTTTGAACTTACTTAATTCACTTAACCTACAAATCTACTCCTAAGTCAGTCGCTGCATCATCACGCTGTGGAGCACACGGTGGAAATAGCCAGAATTGACGGTCGAACTGTTGGATCGGGCGCAAATGTGGGATGAAACTCAGTAGTCCGTGTACGGGTGCCACACATAACGGAATACTAGATTTTCGTATGCGTAAAGCGTGTCGGTGAGCGTTATTAATCCGGCCAGAAAAGCAGGCTTCTTAATCTTGCGTTCCTTGAAGCACACGCTTTGTGTTACTATATTCAATACTCTGTTGTTTTAAAAAATAGTTTTTCTATTAATCCTTCCCGTGTAGTTTAATTTTTTTAACCTCACTGTACTATATAGTGAACATAAATCTTTATATCTAGTCTTTCATGTTCAGAATTTAACTGTTCAAAATACACAACTTTTACTATTCCTTTGAGATCTCTCGTGGTCTCTTTTGAAGATCCAATATTTTTGTAATATATAGTTTAACAAGTACGTGCTTTGGGTACTTACTTGTCTGGTCAGCCATGTAGCCCAACTAACAGGTAGATGACTTTCTTACCTCATCGTGCTGCACATGGGTTAACGTGCATAACCGCATGTGATGCGTAAGGACAACGAGAAGACAATTTTTTAAACTTAGAGTCAGGATCGAATCAGCATAATGTACCTTTTAGCTGGTACCTGAGCTGTTAGTATGGTGAGTTACAACATCAATATCAATGTGTTTGATGTCATAACTGGAATCTGCATATAAAGCTGTCTTACCTGAACGAATACAGTACAAATCAAACGTAGAAGGCAGTATTACAACATTTTGTCGTGTCAGCTGGTAGGCATTATTCCATTTTTTTTTTAAATTCTAGATCGTTAATCGCTTGGGAGGTTTTCATCGTGTTACCTCTCAACTAAAGTGGGGCGTGATATACTCCGAAATGGATCTTCCTCACAATTTCACGGCTGGTCCTAGAAATCTGCAGACAGCATTTAAGAAGTAAGTCCTTCTTTCCTTCTGGTCAGCGAATATCTTCATGTTTGTCCCTTAACTATGTTTCCTTTCGAAGGAGATCACAGTTTAGACGACCTTGCGCAAATGTGTGCTTCAAACTTTCTTGCTCACCAAGACTGCCCAACTTAACCGCTTTTCACATCATGCCGTTTTAATCAAGTTTACTAGATTCAGTAAGATTAAACCTCTTTGTGACACCCACTGCATACCGAAAGCGTCATTCGCGACAACAAACTACACATCCTGTTACATGTATTGGAGTACCAAATGACATGAACACATCGACTTCTAACATTAGAGAGCTTTATTGCATGACTTGGTTCTATAACTGCTATGCAGTGGGCTCTAGAGCGCTCACAAAACGCTTAAAACTTAATGCGTGTCGTGCATGTATCCGATATTTACTGTGCCACCAATTCACTGAATTTTAGGTTAAAAGCACTTCAGAAATATGGTATTTTAAGGCTCCTACGACCACAAGTTATAGATAGCCAATTTAACCAGATAATTAAATTCCAGGTTTTTTTGCTCATGGTCATCAAAGACTCTCTCTGCTGACAGAAGGATCTAGATGGTCAAATAGCGATGCAGACAAGAGGACCAAGAATGTATGAAAATAATTGGTAAGGATCTCTATTGTAGCTAGTCACATCTGTGTGTTTTTGAATTCCTCCGCCTAATATATCCAGTCTCCTGTGTATAAGGCTAATCCTCATCGTTGACCAGGCCCGAACGGCTCTCTGTGCTCCAATAAACAGAGACCCTTTAAACTCCGTATCGGCCGATCCACACACCCGAACGATGCGCTGCCATCTGCTTAGATATATTTGCTTTTCAAACCGATCGCGGCCAAATCTATCCCTGTCGAATAAAAAATCGAAAATCAATTAATGACAATTTTTTTCTGGACCCAAACTATTCTTACCACGAAACTTTGTTACCTATAATGTACAGCTTTTCTATTTCATATTTCGCTACTGTTGTACCTTCGAAGTCAGGTTTTTTCGATTAAATCAAAGTCGTTATTTCGCACACCATTGACCAAGCATAAAGCGAAAACAAAGCCGATATTGAATGCAAAAGAAAGATTTGTTTTAGTTTTTTTCCTGTCTTCTAGGGTCTTGACAGCGCCCAAGATGTGTTTTTCCAACAAACCTAATTATTATATGATAATTTTTGCCCACCCCTCTTCTCTTCCTCCTCCTCCTCTCGTCAGGTATCTTTTTCCGCTCGACGACCTCTCGCGTAAGCTGGGCACAAGTCTAGACCAGATACCCCTGTCGGGCCCTAGAACGCAGCATCTGAAGTCCCAGCGGCAACAACAGCAACAGCAACAACAAAGAACCACAGGTGCTAGTAGCAGCAGCCAGGGCCCATCCAGGGGTTCAGCCAGTGGTGGTAGTCAGCAGACTGCTGCGTCAAAACCGAAGCAACAGCAACCTTCAGCCTCCACATCAACTGTCCAGCCTGCAAACACGACGTCCGCGGAGCCGGGCGCAAAGGCCGCCGCCGCAGATGGCAAGACAGTCTCGAGCACCAAAACAGATGCAGTAATCACTGCTGCTGCTGCTGCTACTACATCCAATGTGGCTTCAGCACCAACTAAAAAGGAGCCCGATCAGGCGTCACGAAGACCCACGGAAACTGCGAGCCGCAAGGACACCCCAAAGAAGACCGACAGAGATGAAAAGACGCCAAAAGATGTTAAGGTGAGCCAGTGTTGGAACAGTCATAGAACGTTGAGCGCCAATTGCTTGGGACGTGACGTAAGGCGTGTCGATTTTTAAGTTTCCTTAAATCCATGGTTTGGTTGCAACTCACTGGCATAAGAACCCTGCATCGGCGATTTGTGATGCCGAGCGTGCTTCTTTTAAAGCCACACGGAACAGACGCATATCGATTCGACCTGATTCCACGACCTAATTTTGTTGCCCCTTTTTGGCAGAACATTGAGCTCGATGACTAGCGGATTTCGGGAGCATATCTCAGGTCCTGAATGCTTGCGTATTGCTCGCTGACGATGTCAAATAATTTAGCCCCATTCCTTCCAATTTCGTATTTATTTTCGTGTAAACTTTGGGCAATGTCCTAATTATCTGGCCCTGTTCGTCCCACCAATTCATAACCACATTATTTTTGGCACCTCAGAAAACCTATTTCTTCAACTCCTCTTTTCAGCGTTTCCAAAATTCTGACCAGCCTAAATAATCCCCTGGAAAAGCCCTTATAACTTCCGTGAAAGTCTACTACCAATAAAACAAGTCTATCAACTAAACGGTTGGCATGCACGTGTACCTCCTAGTTAATGACGCCGAGGCTGCTTTTAAAAGAACCTTCTTGCAGCATATTCCAAACGCTTGTGTAGCCTCAACAGGTCTTGCAAGCCTATCGGGTCGTGCACTCTCAGATCACTAGCACCTGCTCAAACAAATTGTTTTAGTATGCGTAATCGGTTCGACAGTGTTCGTCGTCCCGACAGCAGACGTTCTGGTTTCCTATATAGCTTGCTAGTACCACTAACGTGGAACCGCAACGGGCCAAATTTATATTCGGGGTATTAGCGTTGTACTGTTTAACCTATCCTTGTCGACTTTTTGATAGAATGTAAATGGTGTCTATACTATACGTTCAATTAGTGACTTACCACTTGTCAATGTTATAGAGATTTCCCACTGCATTATGCTTTGTAGGAGGGCTTTACTGACGTTCTTTATGTCCCCTTTTCAGACTTCGGATAGCAAAAGTCGGCCAAAGTCTGCGGTGACGTCACAGGCGCCGAAAGTCGTTGGGTCTACTGACAAACCCAGTACACATCCGTTGGG